CACTCGACCTTCATCCCGTGAAGTAATTGTTTGTATATGATGCGCATACAACTCCTCTTATGTAGCCTGATCATTCCAAGAAAGATGGCTCGTCAAGACTTGAACAGCTATCGCCCACGTACTCAATTTACCCACCACATTGTGAGATTAAATGAATGTTTTTTCCGAATTCCAGGATCGTTATTTTGCTTCAGAGCGCTTATTGGCTGAAAGTTGTTGTCTATGCGCTCAACGTCTCATTCTCTCTATTTCAAATATAAATCTTTGAACAGTTTTCAGCAGGGATAGTAGGGCTATTATGTGACATTTCCCAATTTTAGAGGTCATGTTTTCTAGAAACCTGAGAAGAAAGCGACGAATTCTCTTCACTGACGCGAACTGAGGTTGCGTGCCCGTAAGAACTTGATAAAATACTTGGTCGCAGGAGAGCGTCCCTTCCGTGGCAAGACTCGACATCACTCAGGTCATGCTCTTGTCAAATGATCTTCGCGGGATGAAAGTCGAGTGCATGGCGCAGTCCCAGATGTGTAGGAAAACAGCATTGCTACGCACCGCTGAATTTGTCGTGAGCAGAGCTATCAGACGGCCATTTTCAAATCGCGTGAGCCGCTTCTTCAAGAGTTATGGCGAGCCGACGGTTGCGACGGACTGACTGCGTCGCAAATCGTCGATTGAACAAAAATTAGTAGCAGTATGTAGACCTCAGTTGGCAAGAAACTCGTTTTTCGAGGTAGTTTGATTCCCTGAATACGAATATCGTACCCACTTGCCACGGAAATGCATAGCACCTGTACTACTTGCACCATGAGCACTCACAGACAAGTAGTGCTTAAACTTAAAGGCAGCGATTACGATAATCCAAGAAGGGTTCAGAGAGACGTGGTGGTGCTCAATGGTACGCCAGTGGCGAAAAAAGCAGAGAAATCCGTCAAGAAAACGCAAAACGGGACCCCTTTTTTGGCCGTTGGTTTTCACTCATGAACAGGTACAGCTCAGAAAGCGGACGTATGAACGAGTTCACCGCAACGCGTTTGGTGGCACCATGCCAAACCACGCTTTAAAGGCAAAGTTCGGGCTCAGACCCACCTAAGAAGCCCTTACCATGGCTAGAAGTGCTGGGTACGCAAGTGCAAAGGTAGCGCCACCTTTCTACATCGAAACGCGTCACTAGGACCCTAGGCGCCATGGACTTCTAACAGACTCCACCAAACTTAACATGGTCCGCCCACCGTTCGATATCTTGTCTGCGTCGCCACGTTGATCTGCTATGCTCTCTCTTCTCGGACTTCTCTACCGCTCTCCGCGCTCACATTATCTCTCATCTCCCTGCCTGTCTTTTGAACTTCTCCGAGCAAAATGCTCGTATTTCCTGTGTATTTCAGGATTTTCTTTCCTTTTTTCTCCACTGGCGGTCCACCTCCCATCCCTACTTTCACATTTGAGTGGAATCAACCCATCAATTTAATCCTGATTCTTGCCTTTAATCAAGTTGCTCCAGTTGTGCCGCTGCTGGCAACACAGCTCGTCCAAATCACCAACTAAACTAGTGGGCGGATTTTTTGGGGCGGAGTGCTTTCGAAGTCCTGCTCAGCAACCAGCGCACCTTTCGTCGTGAAAGCGCCACACCTCGCTTCCTTGGCAGCCAAGTAACTGCTTCGTGTGGTGCATATGCTTCCCGATGCGCTGCCGATGCCGATGCGCTCAAAAAGCCTTTTTTTTTAATGATCTAAAAAACTGAACCTCGATAATACCACGAACCTCCTCATTTGAGGTTATGCCTCTCTTCAACTGTCTCGTTATGCGATGCGATATAAAATTTTAAAAGATTCAATTAGTTGTATTCTTAAAAAATGTTCAAAATGTTGCGAACGTCTGATTCCTTCCTTTTTAAGTCGTTCCGTTGTTCTGTTTTTTGCGCACGTGTGGGTTCCCAACATTCAAGCATTCATAACTTCATAATCAACTTTTTGCAAATGTCTATAGGCTAATTAGAAACTAGAAGATTAGAGCTTTCGAAAATGACTGAAACTCTTTCTGAAAAACTTTCGTTCAAAAAATAGCCCGTTGTTCCTCGTGTGGGTTTGTGGTCCGATTTTCAAAAACGCGCGACTTTCAACATTCAGAACTTCCTAACTTCCTTTATAATAAACTTCCTGCAGACATCTAACCACAAGACTGATTGGAAACTATAAGATTAGAGCTAAAAAAAGCGCTGGAACTTTTCTGAAGTATATTCCTTATGTTCGAAAAATTAGTCCCTTTTCCGTTTTTTTTGGGTTTTTTCCTTGGACCAAGTTTTCACCCTTCAAACGACTGTAATTTTCTTCGAACTGGTTAAATGGGAAGCGATAAAAACCACTGAAATCTACAGATCAATTCTTTGCAAAAAGCGCGGACATCTCCTGAAAAGCTCTGGAATGAAAGCTTTCTTCTGCCAGTGTTTCTGTCAGATTTCTAGAAGTCAGTCTGCCAAATTCGCTCGCTTCCCTTTTGATTTGCTCCGAAAGCATTGGGATTTTCAGAAAAGATCTATTTGCGAAGTAAGCAAACCAGCCCTTTTGGCGTTTCTGCTGGGGCCGTATGCTGAATGTTGGGGAGGGGATGGGGTCCCCGACGGTCGACGGACCACTTCAACTCGGTCCTTAGAACCGCCACAATTTGGTGCTTACCTCAGAACTAAGCCTTAAAGAGAGGACGGGTCCGTCCCCTCTCCAAGGCTTAGTCCTGGGGTGAGCAAACCAGCCCTTCTGGCGGAGCTGCTGGACCAGCTGCACCACTTGCGTCAGTACTCTCCTACCGTACCAACCGAGTTGAAGTAGTCCGTCGACCTCGGGGACCCCATCCCCTCCCCAACATTCAGCATACGGCCCCAGCAGAAACGCCAAAAGGGCTGGTTTGCTTACCTCTTTGCGTTCATGCTCACTGGAGTGTGAAGTGATTTAGTCATCTTTTGCTCTGGGATGCGCCATTAAAGGACGAATTCACGATGAAAAAGCAACCCATTTCAAATTAACCTAGGGATGGTGAGTGGTACACGAAAGAAGGAAGAACCATGAGAAACGGCCCAGAACCCGAGAAATGGGACCCCTTCCTTGCCCGTTGATTTGCGCATTGATGCGACTCTCATCGCTGTGCCCTCTTCAACACTACGCTCTCTCTGCTATCTAATCACTCGCCACGTATAGACCTGCGGCGAGTGATCAGATAGTCGGTGGGCGTACCCGCCAACCGCGCCAAGAGTGAGCCATGCTAGATCGCCGAGGTCAAATCTTTCGCTGCCAATTGCGCGTCGGTCAGCACCCTCAGGAGGTCCGCCTGTCTCCCAACTAGGCAATTTCCTCCTTCTTCGACCTTCGTTCTTATCGTGAATTCCGTACTTTAAAACGCCCATGGTTAGTAGCAGTGGTGTTTGAAAGTCTAAAGTCGTTTGCCACTTTGCTATGCCGTGGGTCCTTGCGCTTAAAGGAAGCGATTACGATAAGGAATTTTCGCATCGGGGGAGAACCTGCGCCACACGGAGCAATTACTTGGCTGCCAAGGAAGCGATGTGTGGCCCTCCCACGGCGAAAGGTGCTGTGGTTGCTGAGCAGGACGCCCCGCCCCCAGTGACGTGACGCCCACTAGTTTTGTTGATGATCTGGATGGACTGTTTGCTGTTGGCTTTTCATTTTGGATGATCATTTCCCTTCTAGCGGCTGTATCTTCCAACTTGCCCATGTATTGCCTTATCAATCAAAACACTATGCTTGTTGGCATGATGGCGGCTATCGGGGTTAACACGTCCGAACAACTTCTTTCTTTGTCGTCGCTCATCCATGGTCGAAAATGAAAGGGCAATCAAAGGGGTACTATTTTGCTTATTTTTGACGGATTTCTTTGCTTTTTTCGCCATTGGCGTACTATTGAGACCCCACGTCCCCTCTAAACCCTTTGAAATCTATCGTAATCGCTGCCTTTAAAACCTCCATTTATATCCGCAAAATACGATCCAGGGCTAACCGTCGCTGTCGCACTTTTCGAATTTTTTACCTCTCACCCTGTAATGCTTACCCCTCTAGTTCGGTGTGGCAGCCAAGGGTTATCTGTTAGTACGGAAGTTGCAAAGTATTTTCACCTGCTGCCATAGGGGTTTCCGCGCGGCCTCAAATCCGGGTGCTCGGTGCATATTCTCCCTGGGGGAGGGGGGAGGGTTACTGTGCTGTCTCGCACTCTCCCTGTGCCGGGCCTTTCTCTGCCTCGGGTGTCGCGGATGCGACGATGGCCGCTCAGAGCACCGTGAGCCCGGGCCTACTTGTTCCTGCTTCTGTATTTCTTGGTGTTCAATCTATATGGTATCATCATAGTTCATGTCAGACCGTTGTTAGTGCGTATATCAGGGGCAATAGGGCCTTTGCACCTAAGTAAGCCAGCGGGCCACTAGTAAGTAGGGTGAGCCGCCGGCCCACCACGTCCCCAGTATCCCCGTGAAGTGAATGGGTCCGATACTCTGCGGGGTGCGCAGGAGGGTGGGGCCGATGGAAAGCCTTGGCTGGAGTTAGGGCATAGTGAACGGAGACACCATTTGCGACACCACATTGGCTGACGAGGTATCCATTTGATGTCATACAAACTACCGTGCCTCGTGAGCTTTAAATGGACATACACGTTGAAAATGCAACCTTATTTCAGTAGACTTGATGAGTCTGAATCATGAATCATCTAAAACCATCCCAGTGTGGCATTTTCAAACATGCTATCTACATGGAAGAATGCAGAATTTATGCATGCAAAAAAGTTAGTCACAAACATTACTTCAATGGTAAGACCATCTAAACTAGTATCACTGAAAATGGATGTTAGTAGACTACACATGAGTTGAATTATCAAGATGCCGAAAACACTTCTTGGAAGTCCCTACGCAAATTCCTTGGATAATACATGAGAAAACTATTAGCGGAGTAGTCCAAAAATCACATCGCAACCTTAGTAAGTGATATACAAAGTTTGTGAATAGTGAATAATCATTGAACAATGTTAAGTTTTCTTTTAACATCAAGAATGTCGTCCCTACTAGCTTTTCGGCTCGCTTCCAAGCGCATCGACGACCTGAAACGATTCAAGTATGCACAAGCTCGTGAATCACGAAAGATAAGGGTTTTGTATTTGGAATAAACCGGTCAGCGGATTCATTTGATCCGTTGGACGAAGCCGGCTGCATCTCCTAATGGCAGAGTACAATCTCACCTCCCACTTCTAGGCTTGATCAATCCGTTAGCGACTGCGAGTTCGAATTCACGATCGGACAGCTTGCTTGTGTCGATGAATGTCACGACTCCACGATGAGGCGTGTATGATACTTTTCCCCGAGCGCAAAGTGTAAACATTGCTGAAAGTATCGAAAGCTCCCACTATGCATATCGAAACTACGTCTACTAGGAGTCATTCCTTTTGGTGTCGCTAATATGTTTATTGATACATTGTCTGTTGGCACCGTCGCAGAAATCAGTCTCTTCATAGATCTTTGTTTGCTGTTATCTTTAGTCCGTGACTTCACATCTCTCTGCAACCACTTGGACAATTTTATGTCGCGTAATCATGCATTAGTCCCAGGTACAGAGTGCTCTTCACAACAACGGGTAGACGATACTGACTGTGGAGTGGTCCGCATCAAAATGCTAGTGTGATTTTGTACGCCCATTAGTTCGAATTGAGAAGAACTAGCAAAAATGAACCACTTATTACCCGATGTCGTCATAAGAGCCAGTCTTTGAAAGAAGACGGCTCTGCAGCGATGGAAACTGTCGAAGCCGAAAGCACGAACAGGGTAAATTCTGCATTCTGGATGATAACCCACTCCTCGGTATGCGGCAAGTTGAGGAGCAAGGATGGGGGCGTCGAAGCGCTGAGAATGGATGGTTAGAATTAGCACCAACTGATTTTTTTACGGCGGGGCTTAATGTTATTTCCTGCCAAGGCACGAACAATTTGGCATTATTGTTTTAACATGTAGCGCATGGACAGTCGTCAAAAATGGTGCGAATGATACATTTATTATTGGACATTGTCGAACGCACAGGCGTGGCGAACGAGCATACCAAGAGCACTTATGAAGGTTGATGACAGTTCGCCTCTTATCACGATCCTTGTTCGTTCATTGGTGAATCTCACACAGATATAATCCAGTTTTGATGTGTAAATCCCACGCAGATATTCTGCGTCCATGAATAAATAAATAAATAAATCACCGCCTGTACATTATTGCGAAGCACTCGAATACTTTACTAATGTATCATATAAGTAACTTACACGATCTTGCGTTTTAGCAGTTTTCAGGGTGAATGAATTGATCACAGTGCCAGAGGTACCCTGTAATTCCTACTATTTTCGCTGTGACCTTCCTCCAGCGAATGTGAAATACAAAGAGAAATACTACATGTCGGAGCATCTTATTCAATCGATGAAGTAATCTATAATCAAGAGACATACCCGCTTCTGCTCCGCAGGGAAATCTTCGACTTTTCCAAATTTGAACGAAGATTCAGTAACTGACACTTTTGCTTTTGAGGCGTCGAACACATACCTGCAATTCATGTAAGAATTGATACGAAAAACACAAAAAGATTCTGTACTGTTCCAAAAGATTCAAATCTCACCCAGGTTTCTTCGTTAATGTGTCACGTGCTCGCTCACTTTGTCTGTGAACAGATTTCGGCGTAGCAAGGCGCTAAAATGAGCAGTGTACGTCACTGATAACAACTTTACTGTTTTATTTAGCTTCTCTAACGATTGCACGTGACGTAAGTGAAGGAAAGCACTGCACAAAACCGCCGCATATATGGACAACCTGCACTGACCGAAGCGCAACTCAGGGTTCTTGTCTGGAGCTTATGCACTCAAATTGCATCCTATGAACATGACACAACCTTTAAGTGACATTTAGTCAATAACCCATCTAACCACAGCTCCAAACAGACTTTCTCAATGTCCACAACAATTACTGTTTTTGCAGCGGTTTGACGCAGTAAGTTCCATTCTCACACTCCTCGTCTAACTTGCAGTTTAGAGGCAGAAGTGCCGGAAGCCGGAATTTGAGATGGTCCTTATCCTCCGACGAATGTAGAAGTACCATGACACACGTCACCGAGGCGGTCTGCCGGACTGATTCTTTTTGAGAGAACATATTGAAGATAATCGCCACTAGCGAAAAGATGCGGGAGGCAGCTAAACAAGCAAACCAGACTAGAGACTCCCAATCCACCTAACGGCAATAATATATAAACACTCTAATTTTTTTCCGGAGAAGTTATCCTGAAACGTACTAATCATTTGTATCGCTTTATCACAATTCGGGACGGCTTGCATAACTTGCTGCATGGTTGCCGCGGGTGACTCCTTTACGTGCCTATACCAATGGTCTGCCATTCGACGCAACCAATGCGTGCTATTTGACGCAGCGAAATCTTTCGGCAGCTGCAAAACGAAATATCACGTAATTTCAATTACAAGAACCTAGGTGGTTAGCCACCCACGGGAAACCCGCAAAACCAATCTCTTTCGACTTGCCGTTCCCTTTATTCCTTTTGATCGAACGCGACGACGCTGGAAGACCTTCAACTATAGTCCTTGTTGATTTCGTACGAGATGGAATCTTAGACTAAAATTGAAATAAAAGTGACCTTTTGACTTCTCATTATTCTTCATGCTCGGTCCTTCGACTTTTGACCAATGCGTGACCGGAAGATAAGCATTTTCAAACTTGGTTACATATTTTGAATGACACAAACGTGAACACAGGACGTCTAAAGGTATGTGGACAGTTGGACATTTGCGGCCGCTGTGCGCCACACGTAGGATTTAATCTTCCAGGAAGATAACTTCTCCACACCTCGCAAGTATCCAACTTTTCACAAGTAATTTTGAGTAGCCGACACATATTCCTCGTGGCTCCACTGGTAAGATAACGAAGACTCAGATTAAAATAAACCTTTCGGGTGACACTTTTCACAGTTGAGGAGACAGTTGTAGCGGTGAAACCGCCATGTTTTCTGCTTGTTGAAGTTGGAGTTGGAACAAGAGTTTTTGACGGTTTAGGCGTCGCAGAGTTAGGCTTCAAAGCCGCCTGAGAATGGTTCTTGTTCGCTGACAAGATCCTACTGAAAGAATCCATTGAGAAAAAGATCCCGTGCGCAAAAAAAAATTAGCTAAAACCCTTAATCACCTCTTGTCACTCCTGTGTGGATCAGATTGGTCCGGGTAGGAATTCTTGGCATCAACGCTGTGAGAAGGAAGTAGAATATTCTCTTTTTCCATGCATTCTAAAGACATATGTATATGTCTGTATTGTATCATTATATGTCTCAAGCTACACGACAGAAAATGGAAGTCCGTTATACTGGTATTAACCTAGCACATTCAAACTGCAACAGGTGTCAAATTGTATGTGGAAGGTAAACATGGAGGATTCCTACCTATCACCAGTTGTGCAGGCTACGAGGAAGCTAGAACTGGTTCAACTCCTTTGTATGGAAAGGGAATGGAGAATTGGTCATAGTTCCTCCCCATCATTGTAAGTGGAACCAGTTCAAGTTTCCTCGTGTCATGCGACTATTTCTTAGCAAATGGATTAGCATCAGCTAGTTTGGCTCCGTAACGAGCGTCACACCCGGCTCAGCGATATCAAACGTAGCAACCGGAATTCCAATTTAGCAAGATTCTTGAAGTATGCGCGCTTACCATGAGCATATGACCTCCGCCTCTATCAATTTTCTCCGGTCTCTAAACAGACTCATAATCTCATTACGGGCTTTTGACCGTGCCGTCGCCTCCATCCGTGCACGCCCGCCTGCCCTAACCATAAGCATTTGACCTCAACTTTCTGGCAATTCAGCTCATGCGTAATCCATATTTCTTAGTGGTTGGCGCTTTCACACCAAACATGTTCTACAGGTAGTTCTTCAGGTATTTCCCAATTTCGTGATAAGCAGACCGAGACTTAGCCGATTAGGCATAGTGGGATGACGATTGCCAAAAAAAAATGATTGGTTCGTGGATTAACACACGATAACTGATAAGAAGTGCCAGGAAGGGAAGATTACGTGCCCAGCAACACAGCTGAGTTCTACCACAAATTCGAATTCTACTCACTATCAGCTTCGTAAAAGCATTCAAAAGTTTTTCTCATAAACAATTTCGACACAAACCAAACACCCGAAACTTTCATGGCGATTGGCTTAATCGAAACTCAGGCTAATGAACTGTACACAATTCTAGTTTCAGCACCATATTGCCGTCTAAATGAAGAAGCACAGGTTTGTTATTTATCGCCGCTCCTTGTTCCCTGTCTCCGCATATTTTCGTCTGCTAAATTGCAAAAACCTCACCTGAACAA